CTTTAGGCCTTACGTACACTTAAGCTCAAAAACACTGCTTTTACGGGCATTCAAGATTTTTTTTACTCTGCCTCTAATCTCCCCTCAAAATGCTATCTTACGTGTCCCTGCACACTACAGGCATTAAGAGTGGAGAGACAGGGGTGTTCAGAGGAAGAAGAAAAAAAAAAAAAACAAAAACAGTGTTTGGCAGAAAAGACACCCGATGCGCCTAAATGTTTGTACGCGCTTTAATGATAGGTGTGTTTAACACTGGAACGTTATTTCATTTCAATGGCCAGAAGAATTATTCTGGCCAATAAAATAAATTCCCAAGTACGTGATGCAACTAAATACTTTTTGGAGAAAAAAAAAAAAAAAAAAAAAAAAGCGGCTTAGGGGTGTTTTTTGCAGCTGCTTAAAATTGCCAACGCTGGGCTGTTTTGATTGGTTTAGATTTGTGATCAAAAGCTGCTTGGCAACCCTGGTTCTACCGAGTCTTCCAAAGACACTGCTGCATGCAGACTCAGTACTATGGTTCCCGTAAACTGCATCAACTGGCGAACCTCTAATCACTTTTATAGTGGCCTGTACACAATAAGAGTTGGGCTTAACTCAACGCACACAATCCACACATTCCTGTGATCACAGATCGGTATACAGTGCACCTATAGAACGTTCACCGATTATTAATTAGTTTTCTAGCTTTTTCAAACGACCTGTTCTCTGCAAAGCTATTCAATTGCTAAAATCCAACAACAACCTGATGTATATATAAATCTGTTTACACTAGGTTATCTTGATCTGTTCATAGGTTTCAGTGATCAAAAGCCTGTTGATCGTTTTAATTTACGTGAACTGCCATATCACATGTATACCCAGAATCAGGATTTCTGTAACTAGGCATTAACCAGCAAACCACTGATCACATCTGATAACCTGTACAAAATGAGGGCTGGGGTGAACGTGTTTGCTGTGCATCAGAGAATGCAGTATGTGTCCACACACAAGAACTGGGTACATTAGTGGTGAACAACTTATTTGATAGAGGGCCTCAGGCTCAGCACCTGACATCAAACTCGACAAATGTATTGCTACAGAAAACAGACTGCAAAAATGCAATTAAAAAAATGCTTAGAAAAAAAAAAAAACCCCACACACAACAGGTATACTACAATAGGTCAGAGACTGCAAACATGATTAAGAGACTGTCGACATATTTCATGAGACAGTCAGATTGGGACACATTACATGAGACTGCTAAAGATCACTGCTATTGCAGCCCTCTACAAAATCAAAGCTTCCATATTTGCGCTTGCTCACACTTGTGCCACATCTGAACCGTCACTACCGGAAGAGTGACATCAGTCTAAGGGGACTATCCAGAAGAGTGACATCAGTCTAAGGGGACTATCCAGAAGAGTGACATCAGTCTAAGGGGACTATCCAGAAGAGTGACATCAGTCTAAGGGGACTATCAGACCAGACAATGTGGTTACATGTTGCAGCTCTGGATTCACACTCTGCACCCAGAAATGCTGCTAGCAAGAGACTTGCAGGGAGGATACCGTCCTTCACAAGGCAAGGGAATAAAAGAGACACAGGATGGGTTGGACATGGGGTGAGAGGGGGGTTCACTAGAGTTGGGCTTTAAGAATATTTCTCCTTCACTGGCTTGAGTAAGCACCAAAACACAGAATAGGGTCTGCAGGAGCCCCAAGGGCCACGCAATAAGTACCCAATGATCACAGGTTGGACACTAAGGGAACAGACACACAGTTCATCAATCTAATACTCTCTTCTGCCAAGAGATGGATGTATGCTGACACCGGGGGGGTTTTACCACCAGCACAGATCTGACCCCTTATGCTTGCTACACACAATGAGAATGTCAGACGAATGATGGTCCAGTTTTTTTGCAAGCTAGTCTCATATCGAAAATGAAGAGGTTCGTAAAGTTGCTAAAATTCTCTGAAAAAGGATATTGTATTGCACCTTTTTCAAACAAATACTGTACTCATTAAAAAAGAAAATCTTTCACTCTGTACAAGAAAAATTTTCAAGCTTGTCCCTTCGGAAAATTTTGCATGAACTGTTGTGATTGGCTGTCGAAAGCTGTGTACTATCAGGTTATCGGGCGATCATGCCAAAAACGATTTTTGTCATCCAATTTTCTGATAGTGTGTACTAAGCATTACAATCAACACACGTTACAATCTGACTGTACAATCAATGCAACATAGAACAAACTATTTAATAACGACCTACCTAATCTAACCAATTATCCTGTATCTAGTCATGCAGGCCTTGCGCTACATAATTGCTGGCAGAGCTAAACCTGACCATACACTCCTGAAAACGCCACACATACAGCTATGATTAAGGCCCAATTGGGTTGAAACATGTTAGCCTTTGTGCTGGTTTTCCCACCTTTTTTGTACATAAAAGGATTTTTTACATCTGAGAATGTCACTGTCAGCAGCTTCCCTTTAACAGTTTAAGGAACTCATACAGTATCCAATCAGGCAGGCCCTTACACTAAACTGATGGTAAACGAAAGTCAATTGTATAGCTTATACAGTGTATGGTCCTGTAGTTTTATCATTCATTTTAATGTGTGTGTGGTGAACCCAAGATGTTTTATACCTCAGCGCATTCACTGCATTAAAACCCAACTCCAGGCAAAAAAATAAAAGTTAACAATGCAGTGAGGCTGCACAGGTTAACTGCTCATTTTGACTAGGGGAGAGCAGAAAGGAGATTCAGTTACCTAATCTTCCGATCCTCCCACCAGAAGAACTGTTTGGCACCCCCCAGTGCTCCAGCGGTTTTGCATTGTGGACTGTTCCTTATGTCATCAAGCCCAGAGTAGGCTGCACAGATCAGGAATAGTCCACATCTAGACTGTGGGGGAGCACTGTTTTCTGGAGGATCAGTTGAGTAGAAGTTCTCTCCTTACCTCTAGACAAAACGAGCAGTGGACCTGCGCAGTACAGGAACAGCACCACTGCACAGGAAAACTTTTTTTTGCCCAAGGTATATTAAAAAAAAAAAAAAAAAAAACACCCCCACACAAAAAAAACCTCCATTACCTGATCTCCAGCCCTAGCACCCCAATCGCTTACCTGGCTTCTCTCACCGATCCAGTGCTGTCATGGCTGCAGCCCTGCTCTCCTCTCTTCCTGGTCTCACTAGCCAAATACCTGTGGAGGAGGGAGTAGGGGGGCACTGGAGCGGTGTCTATTGATACACATAACCCAGCTTGGGTGTGCACCCACAAAAGGTGAAAGCAGGGTGCTAAGGGGGCACTTGAGGGAAGGAAGATTGAACAGGCCGTACAGGGGACTCCAGAATAGAGAGGTAAGAGACCGCTGTGCCCAACATCACTGCACAGAGAAAATATAGCATCTGTTTTTTATTTACAAAAAAGCCTTACCACTTGTTGGCTAGGGCTTGTTTACATTTGTGGCAGCCCTCGACATCCCTCTGAAAAATGTTCAGTGGATTGCTTTTCAAATGTTGATAGAGCAGCATCTGCCAGGCATTCAGGAGACAGACAGATGGGCAATCTCTTACTGCCAACCAAATAGCTGTTTTTTTCCCTTTCAATGGGGATTTTGTATGTAAACACCACAGCCAAGTGCTCGCCACCCATTTGCGGCATGGATCAATTTACTTGGGGGGGGGGGGTGTCACGCTTGGTGGCGGTATCACCCACCAGACATGACCAAGGAAACTTTTTACGACATGAGGCTTTACACGTATACCACCCTAACATGTTAGTCATCTGCAGTACACGCCATATCTTGGCCGCCTGACTACACTGCCGCCCTTGTGGTGGGCCTTCAAAGCGCCTGCCTGCAGACTGCCATGGCTCACATACCTTGTGATGTCATACAGCAAATGGGCGGCACCATACAGAGGACAGCCCAGGAGCAGCCATGGGGGGCCTGAGCCAGGCACTGTGTACAGAGGATAGGATGAGCCCCGTGTACATCTCCGTACCGGAATATGAATGTATACACACTGCTATATACCGGGTAAATATGGCCTGTGAGGACAGCCATTACCACCATTACCCCCAAATATCCCTCAGACCGCTGCAGCCATAATGACCCCCCCTTCATCAGCGGCGGCGAGCAGGAAAGCCCAAGGCTGCGGCCTGACCTCCAGCCCGGGCTCCAATGACCGGTCCCGCTGCCCGAGCTCCTCTTACCTTGTCTGTGTGAACGGCGGCCTCCGGCAGGCGGGAGAGACGTGAAAAGGGAGGGAGGGGAAGGAGACACAGCGGGCCGCCTCACACACAGGCTCAGTCCGCGCCGCTCTCCCTGTCACCGGGACAAATAAAATTCCTGATCCCGGGAGAAGACAACAAAATAATCCCGACCTAACAACCCCGAGAGCAGAGGAATGGGGAGGAAAGGAGACGAGACCGACGTCACCACAAGACACTAGGACACCGCCTCTTATAGGGCCGGGCCTCCTGCCACTCACGGGTGAGCCCGCCCACTTCCCAGCGCCTGACTACCTGGCTACGGGAGCGCGCACGGCTGTACACGGGTAGGGGGCGCGCTTCCACCTTTGCCTGGGGACCACGTGACCCGAGGCTAAAGCTCCTGTTACCTCAGGACAGAAATTAAATGTTTCCATTCCTATGACAGTGCCGTCCGATCACATCACTCACAGTACAAATACACACAGACCATTCTGTTATATACTGGAAGGCTGCATTCACACCTGTACATTCAGGGAACGTGCACAAAATGCTTATCGCGCGTGCGGTGCAATCCTTGGTGCGGGCACCTCCTCACCCGTTAAGGGGTTTGTGACACTGAGAGATGGGGTCATGTAACTGCTGTGATTGGCTGTCATATGACTGGAAAACTCCCAACCACAAATAGCGTTCAGGACCTTTACATGCACAATATTGTCAAAAGTATTGGGCCAGCCCTCCAAATCATTGGATTCAGGTATACCAATCACCTCCACGGCCACAGGTGTATACAATCAAGCACCTAGGCATGCAGACTGCTTCTACAAACATTTGTGAAAGGATGGATCATCTGAGGAGCTCAGTGACTCCAAGTGTGGTACCGTGATAGGTTGTCACCTGTGCAATAAGTCCATCCGTGACATTTTCTTGCTACTAAATATTCCACGGTCCACTGTTAGTGGGATTATAACAAAGTGGAAGCAACTGGGAACAACTGCAACTCAGCCATGAAGTAGTAGGACACGTAAAATGACAGATCGGGGTCAGCACATGCTGAAGCGCACAGTGCGCAGAAGTCGCCAACTGTCTGCAGAATCAATAGCTAAAGACCTCCAGACTTCATGTGGCCTTCAGATTAGCACAACAACAGTGATTAGAGAGCTTCATGGAATGGGTTTCCATGGCCGAGTAGCTGCATCCAAGCCTTACATCACCAAGTGCAATGCAAAGCGTCGGATGCAGTGGTGTAAAGCACGCCAGCACTGGACTCTAGAGCAGTGGAGACATGTTCTCTGGTGTGACAAATCACACTTCTCTGTCTGGCAATCCAATGGACATGTCTGGGTTTGGTGTTTGCCAGGAGAACGGTACTTGCCTGACTGCATTGTGCCAAGTGTAAAGTTCGGTGGAGGGGGGATTATTGACTGGCCTGCACTGAGTGCTGACCTCAACCCGACAGAACACCTTTGGGATGAATTAGAGCGGAGACTGCAAGCCAGGCCTTCTCGTCCGTCTGACATCAGTACCTGACCTCACAAATGCACTTCTGGAAGAATGGCCAAACATTCCCATAGACACACTCCTAAACCTTGTGGACAGCCTTCCTAGGAAAGTTGAAGCTGTTATAGCTGCAAAGGGTGGACCAACCCAATATTGAACCCTACGGACTAAGAATGGGATGCCATTAAAATTTATATGTGTTTAAAGTCAGGCACCCCAATACTTTTGGCAATATAGTGTATGTTCTGTTCTTTTTATTAAGCACTGTGATCAAGGCTGTTTGCATCAACACGTCAGCATACTTTTATGCCACTCCTGTTAATAAAGTCTTCATATGGATTTCAGAGTTGCCAGCTCTTCCTTTTTCTGCTCTAAAAAAGTTGCTGCTACTACTATTACCACCGCCTGTACTGCTGCCTTAAAGCCACTCTGACATGGCTTGCCCCGAAGATTAGATAAAGTCTTCAAGTGTACATAGTTCCTATTTTTGGAGAATCCCATTCAACTCCCTCATCCCTATCCATTTTCCAAAAATAAAAACAACCAAACCAACACCCCTAGGCTGGTCATTGGAGAAATGTGTGAATGAGCCTATGTGCCTGGCTGCGGGGCAAAGTAACTGGGAAGGACCTGGACAGTATTTCTACAGCTCCAATGGGAGTAGTGCTACACGTAAAATTCCACTTCCATTCAATGAAGGCCTCGGTCAGACAGGCACTGGCACATACTGCGTGTAGGCTGCTTTTATTTTGGTGTCTACATACACCCCCAGTTATGTTTAGGCAGCCTATAGCATTGGATGCAGACACAGCGGCTGCATGGACTAAAGATGCGACAGCTGTACAGGAGCAGCTACACAGGACTGAACGCACATTGTCCATGTTCAGGGATGTGCCACGAATCCTACTCAGCTGTTAACATTTTACATGCCGCTGTGTCTGGGCAGTGTCTGTATCCAACCATTTCTATGTGAAATGTGAGACTCCTGTTACCTGAAAAGTGGTTGTAAAGGTTTTTTTACCTTCATGAATTGTATGCATGAAGGTAAAAAACCTGCTCCATGCAACAGCCCCCCCTAATATTCACCTAAGCCTCCTCTCGATCCAGTGATGTGCACTGGACTCTCTCTCCTCATTGGCTAAGACAGCAGCAGGAGCCATCGGGTCCTGCTGCTGTCAACCACAGCCAATGAGGAGGGAGAGAAAGCAAGCCAATGGACACTGAGCCTGCTTTGGTGCCCCCGTAGCAAGCCGCTTGCTGTGGGGGCACTCAACAGGAGGGAAAGACCAGGAGCAGCGGAGGGGGACCCGAGAAGAGGAGCATAGGGGCTGCTCTGTGCAAACTGACTGCACAGAGCAGGTAAGTATGATATGTTTGTTATTTCAAAAGGAAAAAAAATTGCCTTTACAAATCGCTTTAAAGGGAATAACTAAATAATCAATGCAAAAATTAAATGATAGATGCTAAAATAAATTCAAATGCTTCAATGTCTGAAGCTGCTGGTAGCATCAAAATGTGTTCCAACATTCATATAACCTCCATAGTAGTGCAGCGAGTGATGCTGCAATGCTACCAATGTGTGACCATGTATATATCTCGAATATATAAATAAATTAAGCATATAATTTACCAGTTGTGACATGAATAATATACCAAACCAAAAGGCATCAATCATACGTGAAACCAATAAATCAATAGAACGGTGCATATAAATATAAAATCAGTCCATAAAGTCCACACTGTCATGGTGATAATCCAACACCCAGATCATAAACGTTGTGCTCGTCAACTTCACACACTGAAGTGCCACCTCTGTAATTAGTAAAACATATATATATATATATATATATTTTAGATATATACACAGCCAAACATTGGTTGCAGCACAGAATCACACACACTGCATCCACTTCTATGGACTCATGCACACTGGGCAATAAAAACATCACTTTTAGGAGCATTTGACGTTTTTCTTTCTGCTTCTAAATGTCCCTATATGTTATCCACACATAGGCATTTACAGGCATTTAGCGGCAAGAGCATTTAGTGGGGAAAAAAAAAAAACCAATGCCAGTACATTCAGGAGCAGCAGCGTTTTGGCATTAAAAAAAAAACACTTATTGTGTCTAAATGTATGTTAACACTAGGCGCATTTATGCTAGGTTCACATCTGTGCAGGTGGTGCTGCTGCAGGACCCGCACAAATACCGACAGCCACAACCACGCAGAGAAATGCGGGACTCGCAGGCGAGTGTCATTAATCCTAATGACACGCCACCCGCACTAGAAATCGCAACCATACTGAGAACCTCGGTTCTCATGTGGGCTGCGATTTAAAAAATAGTGCAGGACTTCTTTTCTGCATGTCCTGGGGTACCGCAGCCCATTCAAATGAATGGGCTCTCATGTCCGCACAAATCGCGGCCTGCACAATAGCACAGGCAGGTGTGAACCTAGCCTTAGCGATTGAACGCTAATACATTCAATGGCCAGAATAGTTTATTATTCTGGCCAATGACAATAATTAATGCCCAAGAGCTTGACTTGTCCAAAAGGTGCCTAAATGCATTTACAAAAACGAGGCTTTAGGTGCATTTTTAGTGCTGCTTTTTTCCTGCCAGGTGAAAGGCATTCAGGAGAGATGGGCAAACGCCCTGTGTTTAGGTGGCTTATAGGTTGCCTGCACACAACTTGGGGTGGATAGATTGGCAAAAACAAAGGTAGCCTGCACCCACTACAGGTGCAAGTGCCTTCATGAAGGAGGCCTTACTTCCTTGTGCATGCAAATTAGGGCTTGTTCATATCTGTGGGATACACTGCGGTCCCTCTGAGAAATGATCGACAGTGGATCAATATGGCACCTCCTCACTGCCTGCTTTAACCCTCAAAATATCAACCCACCAGTCCGCGATAGCATACAGCCACAGGGGATTTGCAGTGCAGCTCCATTCACTTGAAACGGTCTCATTCAGAGGTGGTACCACCTGCCCAATACGACAAACCATTTAATTTTTGCCAAAATCGTGACGTTTGCAGCTTGGAGTAGCTACATTTCTGTTTTTAGGTTTGCAGTTAGGGGGTGGTAAAACTGCTGCTCTACTGCCTTGCCTTCCGTATAAATGAGCCCTTACTGACTTCAGATGCAGATTTTTCTATTTTCATTTTACAGATCTGCACACAGCACAAATGATATTTTGTGCACTGTGTGCATTAGCCAACAGAAACTGCAGAACCGCAAATCAATAATGAAGAAAAAAAAAAAAAAAAAAAAAAAAAACAGTAATGATAAAAACACTGCATTATTTGAAGCAAGGTGAATGAGCCTAAAAGGAACAAACCTGATGGTAGGTGGATATTGGTGGAGGCAAATCGCTTACTGTACATCCAGGAACCCATAGATTTGTATTGCTGTCAGTTCTGATACATGTAATTACAGATTAACAAATGGAAAGGAAAATTTTCCTTTGGCTATAAAAATTTAAAAAAAGTGGCAGCAGTATCACCTCTGGAACGCAGCTACTGCTCTACTGTAATGGATCACTTTTCAGAGGGGTAGTAAAGAATGCCATGTTCCCAGACTTGCCAAATTGAAATACCGGTATATCAAATAATAAATTGTTTCAGATAATCGTTTGCACAATTTCTAGAACTTCTACATCTAATAAACTATATGTGCTGCAACAGAATAGTTTTTTTTGTTTACTGCAAATTCAGATATAAAATGTGACAATCTAATTTCAAGCATAACTGCTAATCATAGTTTATTGGGCCCACTATTTAGTACAGAAAAGAAAAGTTAGAACACGCACATACTCCAATACTTACCAGGTCCAGGCAGGGGTGGACTGACAACTCATGGGGCCCCCGGGCAATAGAGGATCATGGGGCCCCTGTGTCCTTGCCCAAACTCAAAAAAGCCTATGAAAAAAAGGTACCAGGGGCATCTCATGGGGCCCCCTTCTGACCCCGGGCCCTCGGGCAGTGCCCACGTTTCCAAATGGTCAGTCCGCCCCTGGGTCCAGGTTTCTATTGCAATTTTTACCTTTCAGACCCAATGTCCTGTTTCTATCCCTTCTTGAGTTGCTGTCACTGAGAACCACTCTGAAAGGTCATCTCCTAAAGGAGTAACATATGGCGATACAAACTGCAACCCTTCCCAACTCAACACTTCTATTATAACTGTAGACGTCTGTGGAGCTCATCTACCTTCAGAGATGTCAGAAGACACAAGAAGAGGAGTCTCCTAGACTTCTATGGGGGCTCTATTGTGCAGGATCACTAGAAGATAGATGATTTGTAGTGCTGGATGTAAATAATCCCCAGAGGCCATGGCCATCGGATCTCAGGTACAGGGCAACATGCTAGGTCATGGGAGGGGAGTAAAAAAATATGTGCACTTGGTATGACAGAGCACTTACTCTTTAAAGTGTCCTCATTCCTCTCGCTACAATCTATGCATGCAGGATTTTTAATATTTGTTCTTTGTGTTGACACTTTCTCAACAGATCTGGTCTGAGTCAGAAATAAAAAGTGCAGTTAACATGATGGAACAGGCATTTCCCACCTGCTCTGTGCAGTCAGTATGAGAAAGTGGATGGGTCAGTAGAGAACAAAATTTCACAAGTATCACATTGTTAATAAGCTAACCCCCCACGCATCTTTACATAAGCAAAGCAACATCGGTGGGATGGTGGTAGAGAGAACGGTGGGTGCATATATGTGTAGCTGGGAGGATAGTAGTAGTTAAAGTGGTATTAAACCCAAAACCAAAA